TAGACTTTCAACCATATTACTTCTAATCACATCGACGTTCCGCTTTGCACATCGCTGCACCGTAATTTCGGCTTCAATCCTCTCGGTTTACAATCACCTTCTTCCTCCATTCTATCGTTCTTATCCCATCTTCTAATCTTTTTCTTCGTGGATTTCTCTCAAAAAGGAAAAGGATCTTGATAATAAATTGTTGGAGACACATGTTTGTTGTTCACATTGTGTAGTTTCTTTAAACCCAAATGTGTCAGCACGAATAGTGATTAAAAATCTGCAAGTTGTGATTGGTGGATTGAGATAGATTGCGCGATGTGGGTGACGTTGTCGTGTTAAATTGTTATTAATGTGTTATAATGTTTTCTTAGATTGGAAAGATTGAATTTTTCTGGAATGATGAATTGAGCTGTTACAGATTAGTAGATAATTTGTAGATTTTAAATGACTTGTTTCAGCTTTATAAAGTTGTTGTTATAATGCATATTTCTTGAAAGATTTTGAATTTAAAATATTAAATATGATTTTAAAGTATGATATAGAGATTATGAAAATTCTTACAAATGTTTTAAATAATTATTTGATTGTTGTGAAATTATTGTGTGTATTAATTTATGAAAAACATTGAATTTAAGATATCTCAAATATGAGATATTTATGAAATTATTGTGATATAATTTGTGACAGATTTTGAAATTTTGAGATATAAAAGATTATTGAAGTGATGATGCAAAAATTGTGAAAATTTTCATGAATATTTTAAATAGAATATGTAATCAAAATAGAATGTATAATAATTATACTAAAATATTTAATGATAAGAATGAAATATTAATTATAAATTTAAAAATATACATTATTTTTAAATATCTCATAAATATCTTTATCTATATCTTTTATTATATATTATCATTTACACAAAAGATCAATATATATATAATTTCATTATCAGTGAATAATATATCAACAATACCAAATATAATAGGCTTTCTAGTATTGGTACAAACAAAATAAAATAACTAATTTAATCAATGAAAATTAGACAAAAGGATAATAAATCAATTTTAGATTCAATAATATTAACCAAATACAAGCTCATTAGAAATTTACTATATAAAATAAATTTATGTAGAATACATAATTTTAGAATATATAATCTATCATATTTATATCAATAAATCATATTTATATATTGATAGGTATATTGGATATATTGAATAGGTAATTGTTTTGATAAGATAAAATGTATCCAAGTTACAAATATTTTAAATAATTATTTGATATATTATTTGAATATTTATGAAATTATTGTGTATATAATAGAATTGTACAGCTATGCATAGTGAACACTGATTACTTGTGATGCTATGAATTTAATGAATTCAAATGATCATGATCATGGTTAGGTTATACTTATTTAACTTCATTTCCTTCCAATCTTTTATTTTATAAAATATAAAATATAATAAAAATGTAAAATTTTTATTCCTATTAAGAAAAATGATTTGAAATTTCTTTCTTCTTTTCAATTTCACACAATTTTCAAATTTTATTTTATAAAATTATAAATAAAAATATTTTGAAATTATGGATTTAATGTATTTACAGGGAAATGAATTTAAATAAATAATAATTTTAAGAATTTTAAGGAAAATAATTTGAAAATTCTATTCCATTTTGTCTCATTACTAAATTTTATGTCTCATAACATAAGACCAATGTTTTGAAGTTAAAAATTATGAATTAAGAGATTTACAGAAAATCCAAAAAATAAAAAAAAAAAATTTTATATAAAAATATTTGCAAAGTATAATTTTACATTAAAATAAATCAATAATTTTGGCATTCATATTTCCATACAGTATTCTCGTAAACTTAAAAAAAAATTATTCATCAAATCAAAAAATTTCTTTTCTTACCTTTACTGGAAAGATTTTTGATCATCTAGATTTTTGCATTATATTATGTTCTATGTTACACGAAATTAATATGTATTTCCTGGAGCAACGTCGTCTTAATATCTCTTTCGAACTGAATGTTTGCAAAGTTCTGCGTGTATATCGAATATTAATGATCAAACAGGCTCCACGTGTATGAACGTAAGAAGATTCTAAAATTCATGAAAATTCATCGATGGAAGATAAGAAGAAAAAGAGAATTTTTGAAACTTATAATTTATATTTTAAATGCATCTATAATCTATATACGTATGAAAATGTAAAATATATATCTTTTAGATTTTTTAAAATGGAATTAAATAATACACATCGAATTGAAGAGATTTGATTATGCGATTAGGATTTTTTTTTTTTGGTATTATTATGATTGAAATTTTATATAAAGCATTTATTGCTTATAAATTATTATTGAATTATTTTTTATCATTATTTTTTATTTTTATTTAAAATTATTCGAATTATATAAAATGATCGATTTCCCTTTATTTATTTATGATCTTTAATTCGTT